GTGGAGAGCCACAACCCCCCCCGGGGGCACCCCATAACCTCCCCCCCCCCGGAGAGGTTCCGGGGGGGGGGCAGGGGTGGGTTTGGGGTGCGGGGGGGGTGGCTCTGACCTGGCCCGGAGGTGGCTCAGGTGGCTCCGCACCAGGGTCACGTATTGGTCGATCTGGGCCTGGGGGCACAGGGGAGCAATTGGGGACATGGGGGGGGGGGGAGGCCGGGACCCCCTTGTGTCCCCCCCTTGTGTCCCCCCCCCATGTACCTGGTGGTGCCGGTAGAGCACGGGGAAGGTGAACGCGCAGATGACGCCTGGGTGGGCAGCAGCTCGTCACGCACCATGTGCCCGTGATGTCCCCATGGCATCCTCATCCCATGTGCCCATGGTGTCCCCATCCCATGTCCCCATGGTGTCCCCATCCCATGTCCCCATGGTGTCCCCATCCCATGTCCCTTATGTCCCATCCCTCTCCCATGTCCCAGTCCCAAATCCTTTGTCCACATCCCATGTCCCTGTCCCCACACCTTGTCCCCATTTGTGTCCTTTATCTCTCATCCCCCTCCTATGTCCCTGTCCCCATGCTACATCCATGTATCTTGTTTCCTATACCAATGACCTATCCCCATCCCATCCCCATCCCATTCTCATTCCCATCCCATCCCTATCTCCATCCCATCCCTATCCCTTGTCCTCATCACATCCCTATCCCCATCCGATCTCCATTCCAACCCATTCCTATCCCCATCCCCATCCCTTCTTGTCCTCATCACATGCCTATCCCCATCCCATCTCTATCCCATTCCCACCCCCATCCCATCCTCATCCCTTTCTCATTCTCATCCCATCCCTATCCCCATCCCACCCCTATCCCAATCCCCTGCTGTCCCCATCACATCCCTATCCCCATCCTCATCCCCATTCCCATTCCCATTCCATCCCCATTCCCACCCCATCCGTACCGGCTCCCAGCAGCGTCAGCCCGTTGCAGACGGCCCCCACGTAGGTCAGCAGGTAGAACAAGAAGGCGAACTGTGCCCAGAGCCACCATCATCACCAGCACCGCCACCGGCACCCCCGGCACCCCCATCCCCACATCCCCCCATCCCCACATCCTCCCCAGTCCCACATCCCCTCAGCCCCACCGGCCCCCCCCCCCTCCCCCAGCCCCATATCCCCCCACATCCCCACCTTGAGGGACTCAGGGACGCTTTGCACCAGGAAGAGCCGGGCCAGGGTGCGTGTGGCCGCGCTCAGGTGCCGGGCGAGGCGCCGGGCCCAGCGCTGCTGCTCCTCGGGGCTCAGCCCCACCGCGGCCTCCGGCGGCTCCCTATGGGGCAGGGACAAGGGAGGAGGGGGTGGGGGGTGTAAGACCCCATTGGGACCTTGGGGATGGGTCTGCCCCATGGTGAAGGGGGAAAACCCCATTGGGACCTTGGGGATGGGTGCGCCCCATGGTGAAGGGGGAGAAGGAACCCCATTGGGACCTTGGGGATGGGTGCGCCCCATAGTGAAGGGGGGGAAGGAACCCCATTGGGACCTTGGGGATGGGTGCGCCCCATGGTGAAGGGGGGGAAGGAACCCCATTGGGACCTTGGGGATGGGTGCGCCCCATGGTGAAGGGGGGGAAGGAACCCCATTGGGACCTTGGGGATGGGTCCGCCCCATGGTGAAGGGGGGGAACCCCATTGGGACCTTGGGGATGGGTGCGCCCCATGGTGAAGGGGGGGAACCCCACTGGGACCTTGGGGATGGGTGCGCCCCATGGTGAAGGGGGGGAAGGAACCCCATTGGGACCTTGGGGATGGGTGCGCCCCATGGTGAAGGGGGGGAAGGAACCCCATTGGGACCTTGGGGATGGGTGCGCCCCATGGTGAAGGGGGGGAAGGAACCCCATTGGGACCTTGGGGATGGGTCCGCCCCATAGGGCCGGGGGCGGGGGAGGGCCCTCACTCACCGCGGGGCCGGGTGCGGCCGCAGCGCCCGCAGCGCCCCCTGGTGCAGGCGCCGGGGCAGCGTCACCGCCAGCACCGCCAGGGCCCCGTAGGCGCCGACGCTGACGGCGCTGAAGCGCGCGAGGCAGCCGAGCCCCGCCAGCAGCGCGAGCAGCACCAGCGCCGAGCGCGCGGGGTCCCGCCAGTGCAGCAGCTCCCACACTGCGGGGGCAGAGCCGGGATGAGCGCCCCAAAGGGTCCCAGTGCGTCCCAGTGCGTCCCGATCCATCCCAGTGCGTCCCGATCCATCCCACTGCATCCCAGTGCGTCCCGACCCAGCCCAGTGCGTCCCAATCCATCCCACTGCACCCCAGTGCGTCCCGGCCCACCCCAGTGTGTCCCAGTGCGTCCCGATCCATCCCACTGCATCCCAGTGCGTCCCGATCCATCCCACTGCATCCCAGTGCGTCCCGATCCATCCCACTGCACCCCAGTGCGTCCCAGTGCGTCCCGATCCATCCCACTGCACCCCAGTGCGTCCCAGTGCGTCCCGACCCAGCCCAGTGCGTCCCGGCCCACCCCAGTGCGTCCCGATCCATCCCAGTGCGTCCCGATCCATCCCACTGCACCCCAGTGCGTCCCAGTGCGTCCCGATCCATCCCACTGCACCCCAGTGCGTCCCAGTGCGTCCCGACCCAGCCCAGTGCGTCCCGGCCCACCCCAGTGCGTCCCGATCCATCCCAGTGCGTCCCGATCCATCCCACTGCACCCCAGTGCGTCCCGACCCACCCCAGTGCGTCCCAGTGCGTCCCGATCCATCCCACTGCATCCCAGTGCGTCCCGACCCAGCCCAGTGCGTCCCGATCCATCCCACTGCACCCCAGTGCGTCCCGGCCCACCCCAGTGCGTCCCGATCCATCCCACTGCACCCCAGTGCTTCCCGATCCATCCCACTGCACCCCAGTGCGTCCCAGTGCGTCCCGATCCATCCCACTGCACCCCAGTGCGTCCCGGCCCACCCCAGCGCGTCCCGACCCAGCCCAGTGCGTCCCGATCCACCCCAGTGCGTCCCGATCCACCCCACTGCAGCCCAGTGCGTCCCGATCCAGCCCAGTGCAGCCCAATGCATCCCGATCCATCCCAGTGCACCCCGATCCATCCCAGTGCGTCCCAGTGCATCCCAATGGATCCCACTGTAGCCCAGTGCGTCCCGATCCATCCCAGTGCATCCCAATGCATCCCGACCCATCCCAGTGCATCCCAATGCATCCCGATCCATCCCAGTGCGTCCCAATGGGTCCCACTGCAGCCCAATGCATCCCGATCCATCCCACTGCAGCCCAATGCATCCCGATCCATCCCAGTGCGTCCCAATAGGTCTACTGCAGCCCAGTGCGTCCCGATCCATCCCAGTGCGTCCCAATGGATCCCGATCCATCCCAGTGCATCCCAGTGCATCCCGATCCATCCCAGTGCGTCCCAATGCATCCCGATCCATCCCAGTGCATCCCAATGGATCCCAATGCATCCCGATCCATCCCAGTGCATCCAATTGGATCCCGATCCATCCCAGTGCATCCCAATGGATACCCGTGCATCCCAATGCATCCCAGTGCCTCCAATTGGATCCCGATCCATCCCAGTGCATCCCAACGGATCCCAGTGCATCCCAGTGGATCCCAGTGCATCCCAATGCATCCCAGTGCCTCCCAATGGGTCCCACTGCATCCCAATGGATCCCCAGTGCATCCCAATGGATCCCAGGGCATCCCAGTGAACCGCCATTGGATCCCAGTGCAGCAGCTCACACACTGCGGGGACAGAGCCAATGACCCCCCTGTGCATCCCAATGACCCACCCCCCCCCATCCCAGTGCATCCCATTGGATCCCAGCGCATCCCCGTGACCCCCAGTGCATCCCCTTGCATCAGCTCCCACACTGCAGGGCAGTGTGCAATAACCCCCCCCTGCATCCCAGTTCATCCCAATGAACCCCTAGTGCATCCCAGTGAGTCCCATTGGATCCCAGTTTTTCCCAATGACCCCCCACCCTGCATCCCATTGCATCCCAGTCCATCCCAGTGACCCCCAGTGCACCCCCGTGCAGCAGCTCCCACACTGCGGGGCAGTGTGCAATGACCCCCCCCGCATTCCAGTGCATCCCAGTCCATCCCAATGAACCCCCAGTGCATCCCACTTAACCCTCTGCTGCATCCCACTGCATCTCACTGCCCCCAGTGCTCCCAGTGCCCCCCATTGCCTCTCACTGCTCCCAGTAGCCCCAGTGCCCCCCCAGTGCCTCCCAGTAACCCCAGTACCTCCCCCCAGTAACCCCTCCACTGACCCCCACTCCTCCCAGTACCCCCCTGGAGACCTCCCAGTGCTCCCAGTGCCCCCTGGCACCCCATTGCCCCCATTGCCCGGTGCCCCCCCCACCCTGTCTCTCCATGGCTCCCGCTGGCGCTGCCGGGGGGGTCACCCCTATTTTTAGCGGCCAATCCCTCGCCGCCGCTCGGGTCCTCCCCGCAACCGGACCCCGGGCCCCCCCCCGCCGGGAGCCCCCCCCCCTGCGCCGCGCCCCGGGGCGCTGATTGGCTGCTTACCCAGCACATCAGGGCCCGCCGGGCTCGCTGATTGGTCGGGGGGCGCAGGAGGCGGGTCCGGGGTCGGCGGGGGGTCCGGAGGGGGCGCGGGGCGGGCCGGCTGCGGGGCGCCCCCTGCGGGCTGGGGGGGGGCTGCTGAGGGAATGGGGGGGTTAAAGGGTTATGGGACCCCCCCGGACCCGAGACCCCCCCCAGGCCCCCCTATGGCACCGAGTCCGCATTGGGGCCCCCCCATATCTCCCAGCCCCCCCTTAGGGACCGCACCCATGGCCCCCCTTCCCTCCCTTTAACCCCCCCATTGCCCCGGCTCCCCTTGAGGACCCCCCCTATTGCCCCCAGCCCCCACTGAGGTGTCCCCACGACCCCCAGCGCCCCCTTGGGGACCCCCCCATGACCCCCAATGACCCCTTAGGCACCCCCATGCCCCCCATACCTGGCCTCATCGAGGGCTCCTCCATCTCGCCCCCCCCCCCCCACCGGCAGGGCCCCCCCCACCTCCAGCCGCCCCTCGGGGGGGGCGGGGGGTCCCCAAGCCGCTTTGGGGGGGCTCTGACCCCTAAATGGGGGTCCAGCCCCCGGGGGGCGGGGCCCGAGCTCAGGCGGGGGGGCGGCTCCGGCGGGGGTCCCGGCGGCAGCGGGGTCCCGGTTCTGTTGGGGCGCTGCCCCCCCCTCCAAAGGCGATGTAGGAGAAGGTGAGCTCGCGGGGGGGGGTCCGGGGGGAAGTCCCCCCATCTTCATCCTCCTCTTCCTCCTCGGGGGGCTCCGGGGCCACTGCAAGCTCGGGGGGGAACTCGGGCTCCTCGGGGCCACCTTTGGGGGGGTTTTGGGGCGTCAAGGTGGGGGGTTGGGGTTTCCCCCTTCCCCCCCCCCAAATCTGCACCCCCAAAGGGGGGGTTCGGCCCCACTCACCCTCCGTGGAGTCCGGGGTGGTGGAGGCCGTGGACGGAGCCTCTTCTGTGGGGACACACACACACAAAGGGTGTGGGGGGGACCGTGGGGAACCCCCGTGTTCCGGAACCCCCAAACCGGCTCCAGCACTCCCCCCCCCCCCCCCCCATCACGCCCTATCTCCGGTGTCCCGGGCCCCTGATCCCCGGTAGCCCCCATTCCCATTCCCTCCATCCCGGTACCCACATCCCCGGTACCCACATCCTCGGTACCCGCATCCCCGGTACCCGCATCCCCGGTACCCACATCCTCGGTACTCGCATCCCTGGTACCTACATCCCCGGTCCCTCCATTCCGATACTTGAATCCCCAGTACCCACATCCTCGGTACTCGCATCCCTGGTACCTACATCCCCGGTCCCTCCATTCCGATACCTGCATCCCCAGTACCCACATCCCCGTTATCCCCCATCCCCGGTCCCTCCATCCCGATACCCCCAATCCCGGCCACTCCCGGTGCCTCCGCCCCTGTTATCCCTGTCCTCGGATCCTCCCCGTCACCCCATTCCCTAACCAGTGCCCCGGTTCCCCCCCCCCCCCCCTCCGGTCCCTCCCAGTTCCCGGTTCCCCCTCCGCGGTGCTCCCATTCCCGGCCACTCCCGGTTCCCCATCCCCGGTCCCCCGGTTCCCCATTCCTGGCGCTCACATTCCCGGTCTCTCCTCGTTCTCCATGCCTATTCCCCCATCCCCGGCCACCTCCCGGTTCCCGCTTCCCCATCCCCGGGCCTCCCGGTTCATCCCTCCCGATTCCGGTCCTCTTCATCCGCAGCCGCTCCCGGTGCCTCCGTCCCCCCCTCCCTGCCCCCGGTTCCCGGTTCCTACTGCAGTGGGCGAAGCCCAGGACCTGCCCCATGGCGGCGGCCCCTGCATGAGGCTCCCGGTTCCCCTCGGCCCCGTTATCGCCGGGCCGGCCCCGCCGCCCATCACCGCTCCGCCATGGCGGGGCCCGCGGCAACGGCAGCGGACAAAGGGCGGCGGCGGCCGCGGCGCCGGGGGCGGGGCGGCGGCGGGCGGGGCCCGGGGCGGGACCGAAGGGGACCGGGAATCGGGAACCGGGAACAGGGAACCGGGATCGGGAACAGGGAATCCGGATCCAAGCACCGGGATCGGGATCCGGGACCGGGATCCGGGCACCGGGATCCGAGCACCCGATCCGGGCACCGGGACCGGGATTCGAGCACCGGGATCCGGGCATCGGGCCCGATATCCGAGCGTCGGGACCGGGATCCGAGCACCGGGATCGGGAACAGGGAACCGGGATCCGAGCCCCGGGCCCGGGATCAAGGCACCGGGATCGGGAACAGGGAACTGGGAACCGACATCGGGAACCAGAGCCGGGATCCGTGCACGGGGCACCGGGAACCAGCACCGGGCACAGGGCTCCGGTGGGGCGTGGCCTTGTGTGTGGGGGCGTGGCCTCGGGCCGGGACTGTCCGGTCCTTCTCCCCCCCCCGGTCGCCGCTACCGGAAGGGCCCGGCCTGGCCCTAGCGTCGCCGCTGCCAGCATGAGGTGAGCGGCCGGGGCGGGAGCATAGGGAATACCAGGAACACCGGGAACTGGAACCGGGGGACACCGGGAACGCCGGGAATACCGGGAACTGGAACGGGGGGGAACCGGGAACACCGGGAATACCCGGAACTGGCACTGGGGGGTATCAGGAACACCGGGAAGTGGAAGCGGGATGCCCCGAGAATACCGGGAACCGGCTGCGGGGGGCACTGGGAACACCGGGAATAGCGGGAACTGGAACCGGGGGGCACCGGGAACACCGGGAATACCGTGAGCTGGAACCGGGGGGCACCGGGAACACCGGGAATACCAGGAGCTGGAACCGGGGGGCACCGGGAACACCGGGAATACCGGGAGCTGGAACCGGGGAGCACTGGGAACACCGGGAATACTAGGAACTGGAACCGGAGAGCACTGGGAACACCGGGAATACTAGGAACTGGAACCGGAGAGCACTGGGAGTAGTGGAGGCACCGGAAAGCACCGGGAAGGGGCACTGGGAGCACCGGGAATGGGCACCGGGAGCACTGGGAAGCGCCGGGAAGGGGCCCTGGGGGATACCAGGAGCACCGGGAGCCGGTCCCGGTCCCAAGGGGGACTCAGGGGGGGAACACCGGGGCCCGTCCCCCTCCCGTCCCCCCCCGCTCCCGGATGTGGCGGCCCCGGGAGAAGAGGAAGGAAAAGGGGGGTGGGAAGGGGGGGGCAGCGTCCGGGGGTGCCCCAGGGCTGGTCCGGGGAGGGAGTTGTCCCTACAATGGGGGGGGCAGGGGTCCCTGTAATTGGGTCCCTATAGTGGGGGTCCCCAGCACCCATGGGTGCCCCCGGTCCCGTCCCCCCCCCTGCAGCGAACGGGTGCTGTGCAGCGCCCGGGCGGCCGTGCTGCTCTACGATGACCCCCAGAAGCAGTGGGTGCCGGCGGGGGGGGGCCCGCAGGCCCTGAGCTGTGTCCAGCTCTTCCATCACCCCGGCACCCATGGCTTCCGCCTGGTGGGGCGCAAGATGCAGCCAGACCAGCAGGTGAGGCACCCATGGGTGCTGGAGGGAGGATAAGGGTACCCATGGGTGCTGGGGGGGTATAGGCACCCATGGGGGAGGGGGGAGGGGGTAAGGGCATCCATGGGTGCTGGAAGGGGGTGTATGGACACCCATGGGTGCTTGGGGGGTATGGGCACCCATGGGTGCTTTGCGGGGGGGGGCGTAAGGGAACCCATGGGTGCTGGGTGGAGGATATGGCCAACCATTGGTGCTGGGGGGGGGCTCTGGGGTTTCTCCATGTAGCACCCATGGGCTCTGGGCTCTCTATGGGCACCCATGGGCTCTGGTCTCTCTATGGGCCCCCATGAGCTCTGGTCTCTCTATGGGCACCCATGGGCTCTGGGCTCTCTATGGGCCCCCATGAGCTCTGGTCTCTCTATGGGCCCCCATGGGCTCTGGTCTCTCTATGGGCCCCCATGAGCTCTGGTCTCTCTATGGGCACCCATGGGCTCTGGGCTCTCTATGGGCCCCCATGAGCTCTGGTCTCTCTATGGGCCCCCATGGGCTCTGGTCTCTCTATGGGCCCCCATGAGCTCTGGTCTCTCTATGGGCACCCATGGGCTCTGGGCTCTCTATGGGCCCCCATGAGCTCTGGTCTCTCTATGGGCCCCCATGGGCTCTGGTCTCTCTATGGGCCCCCATGGGCTCTGGTCTCTCTATGGGCCCCCATGGGCTCTGGTCTCTCTATGGGCACCCATGGGCTCTGGTCTCTCTATGGGCACCCATGGGCTCTGGTCTCTCTATGGGCACCCATGGGCTCTGGTCTCTCTATGGGCCCCCATGGGCTCTGGTCTCTCTATGGGCACCCATGGGCTCTGGTCTCTCTATGGGCACCCATGGGCTCTGGGCTCTCTATGGGCCCCCATGAGCTCTGGGCTCTCTATGGGCCCCCATGGGCTCTGGGCTCTCTATGGGCCCCCATGAGCTCTGGTCTCTCTATGGGCCCCCATGAGCTCTGGTCTCTCTATGGGCCCCCATGAGCTCTGGTCTCTCTATGGGCCCCCATGGGCTCTGGTCTCTCTATGGGCCCCCATGAGCTCTGGTCTCTCTATGGGCACCCATGGGCTCTGGGCTCTCTATGGGCCCCCATGAGCTCTGGTCTCTCTATGGGCCCCCATGGGCTCTGGTCTCTCTATGGGCACCCATGGGCTCTGGGCTCTCTATGGGCACCCATGGGCTCTGGGCTCTCTATGGGCCCCCATGAGCTCTGGGCTCTCTATGGGCACCCATGGGCTCTGGGCTCTCTATGGGCCCCCATGAGCTCTGGTCTCTCTATGGGCCCCCATGAGCTCTGGTCTCTCTATGGGCACCCATGGGCTCTGGGCTCTCTATGGGCACCCATGGGCTCTGGGCTCTCTATGGGCACCCATGAGCTCTGGGGTCCCCATCGGGGCCCCCCGGGCTCCGGGCTCTCAATGCCCGCCCCCGGGCGCCCCCTGGTGCCGCTGTCCCGCAGGTGGTGCTGAACCTGCCCCTGGCGCGGGGGCTGCGCTACTGCGCGGTGACGCCGCAGTTCCACCAATGGCGGGAGGGGCGGCGGCTCTGGGGGCTCAGCTTCGGCGCCCCCCGCCAGGCCGCGGCCTTCGCCGACGCCGTCCTGGGGGCGCTGCGGGCGCTGGGCGAGGGTGAGGGGGGGCCCGGGAACCCTGACCCCCCGTGACCCCACCCTGACCCCCCGTAACCCCACCCTGACCCCCCCGACCCACGTGACCCCGCCGTGACCCTACCCTGACCCCCCGTAACCCCACCCTGACCCCCCGTGACCCCACCCTGACCCCCCCGACCCACCTGACCCCCCGTGACCCCACCCTGACCCCCCCGACCCACCTGACCCCGCCGTGACCCCACCTTGACCCCCCCTTAACCCCACTCTGAGACCCCCCCTTGACCCCACTCTGAGTCCCCCCCGTGACCCCACCTTGACCCCCCCATGATCCCACCTTGACCCCCCCCATGATCCCCCCATGACCTTGAGACCCCCCATGACCCCACCTTTGACCCCCCCTTTACCCACCCTGAGACCCCCCCATGAGTCCACCTTGACCCCCCCATGACCCTGAACCCCCCATGACCCTGAGCCCCCCCATGACCCTGAGACCCCCCGATGACCACAGCTTGATACCCCCATGACCCTGAGCCCCCCCATGACCCCACCTTGAACCCCCCATGACCCTGAGACCCCCCCATAACCCTGACCCCCCCCCATGACCTCACCTTGGCCCCTTCCCCCAGGCACCCCCGTTTCCTGGCCAGACCCCGACAGCGCAGAAGACCCCGACCCCCAGGAGAGGTGGGTGCCCCCCCCCCTCGATTTGCAGGGGTCCTCCCCCCTCCCACGGGTGCTGACCCCCCCCAACCCTCAGGCAGCCGCTGGAGGACCCCGAGCCCCGCGTGGCGGCCTCAGGTAGGTGACGGATAGTGGGGGGCACCCCAAAACGACCTGGGGTCACCCCATAACCTCCCTCCCAAACCCATGACCCCCCCCAGGCCCCCCTGCTGGAGCCCCTCCGCCGCCACCCCCTGGCCCCCCCCCACCGCCGGGCCCCCCCCCACCTCCTGCTCCCCCCCCAGCCGCGGGGGTGCCGGGGCCCCCCCCGTTACCGGGGGCTGGGGGGGGTGGGGGGAGCCCCGGTTTCGCTGCTGCCATCGCGGGGGCCAAGCTCCGGAGGGTCAAGGTGAGGGCAATGAATTGGGGGGGGGGGGGGTGTCAAGGGGAGGGGGGGGCTCGATTTCATCCCCCCCCCTTTGTCACAGCAGGAGGAGACAGCAGCGAACCCCCTGCACCCCCCAAGGGTGACGGTGCCCGGGGGGGCACCGGGGGAGGGGGGTTGATGGAGGAGATGAACGCGATGCTGGCCCGCAGGTGAGGGGGGGGATAATAGGGAAATGGGGGGGACCCCCCCTCAAATGGGGGTACCTTTAAATGGGGGTACCCTCAAATGGGGTACCCGTGCTGACCCCCTCTTTGCCCCCCCAGGAGGAAAGCCACGCTGCAGGGGGACAAACCAGCGCCCAAGAGGGACGAGGACGTCACCAACGTCAGTGCCCCTCTCCAAAACACCAAGTCTGGGGTCTTTTCCCCAAAAAAATACCAATTTGGGGGGATTTTAACCCCAAAATACCGATTTGGGGGCTCCCCCCCAAAATAACGCTCTAGGGGGGCTGCCCCCCATCCCCCTGCCCCTCCCCTTGTCCTCAGATGCCGGTGGACACCCCCCGTGTCCCCCCTCCGTGTCCCCCGACCCCTCACTCTTCTCCCCGCAGGACGAGGCGGAGCCGGGCACTAGGACCCAGGGGCAGCCCGCGGGTGAGCGTCGGGGACTACAGCTCCCAGCATGCTTCGCGGCGGGCTCCCGTTGCTGGGCATGATGGGAAATGTAGTCCGGGGGGGGGGCGGTTTAAACCGGTTTAGGGGGCGTTTGAGGGCGTTGGGGGCCGTTTTGTGGGGTTTGGAGGGGGTTGGGGGATATTTTTGGGGTCCCCCCCCGAGCCAGCGCCCTCTCCCCCAGTTTCGGGCTCCTCTCAGTGGGAGCGGGGGGCGCTGGGAGAAGGGGAGCAACACGCTGCCCAGGTGGGTTTTGGGGGAGAAGGCAAGTTTGGGGGGTTCCAA